CGCTTTTGTGCGGCGGTTTTGTTTCGCTTTTCGGCGCCGGGTTTTAAAAATACCCCGAAAATGGCGATTTTGAGAGAGAATTCAGGAAAGTGGCTTTTCTGTGGAAAGGTGTCTTTTTAAACAAAAAGAAGCACTCCGTATCTATTTGATACCTATAACTACCTATCTGAGTTCCTGCAGGGCAGCTGCTGAGGTGGCTCGTGTGGTGGGGTTTTTTAAATTAAGCTCAATTTTGTGATTTTTTTATTTTTTTTTTTTAGCTAGACGTGTTATTTTAGAGCAGGGTGGATTCTTTTCCGCTTTTTTTTGTCGTCCCCTACCCACCCTCCCCGCTTTTTTTTTTTTTTTTTTTTTTTTTTTTTTGTTTCTCCGTTAAAAGCCGAGAAAGCCAACCTTATTTATAAACCTGCCGGGACTTGCCTGTCGCGATGTACAACACGGTGTGGGATATGGACCGCGATGACACGGACTGGAGGGAAGTGATGATGCCCTATTCCACTGAGCTGATATTTTACATTGAAATGGACCCTCCAGGTAGGGAGCCGAAGCCCGGCTGCCATTCATTCCTGCCTTCTTCCCCAGCCCGTCCTCCATCCTCCTCGCAGGCGTTTTCCCGTTTGAAAAAGGAGGGGGAATCTGCAGAGGGGGAGGGGGAAAAAAAATATATATATATAAACTTTGAGTAAACTTTCCAGGGACTTGAACCTGCTGTCTCCTGGGCAAAAGTATTTTTTTTTACGGGTTTTTGGGGCTTGGGAGGGTAACTGCAATTTATGGTCCCTTTTGGGAGGTGGCAGGAGGAGAGCTGCTCGCAGCCCCTCTTCCCAGTCTCCTGTTTTTTTTTTTTTTCTTAAACCTTTATTAAACCCTGTATATTTCGACTGTGTTCACTTGTAGAGGAGCGGTTTTATTAGCCTCTTCACCTGCGTGCCTTTATGTGCCCCTAACACTTTGATGGCAGTGATTTACCTACCTCCCTTCACTTCCAGCTGAATCGCTTTTACAGCCCCCGAGACCCTTTTCTCGCCAGCTCTCTTCCAGCACTGACACGAGGTGTACGTTTTCGCTGGATTTTGGTGTTGGGAGGGGGATAATACTTGGAAACAGCCTGGAATCCATCCCTGGAGGCACTGTTACTTTGATAACGCTTAATAACCTTGTTCAAAAGGGTTTGATGCAACTCTTCCCCTGCCCCCCCCATGGATTGCCAGTGCTGAAAATGAAGAAATACATCCAATACATCGTCCCCTTGCTTGCCTGAAGTTTTTAGGTGGGACAGAAAGTTTCCTTTGTCTGCAGAGTGAGGGAAGGCTTACAAGGAGGAGAGGTTGATTCGTTCTTTGGTAATGAATTAAACTAAGCATAAATGGGTGCTGTTGGAACCGTATCTATACCTGTAAGAGTCTAAAAGGCTGAGTGCAATAAGGTAATTGAAGAGCCTTTATGCCCTCAGGTCTCTGATCTATACAGCCAGAAAGTATAGTAAAATATGCATCAAAATCTTAGCCTGCAGAGAAACTGATAGCAAGTAAGTGCTTCTGAGCGGTGGCTTCTGTGTGCCGGTACTGTTAGACTTCTCGGCGTGTGCTTGAACCGTGGCTTCTATCTCCAAGTGTGGTTTAGTCTCTTTGTTTCAGCGCAGTGAGCTCTTTTTTTCTCTCCTTAGGTACGTGGTACCTCAGTTAAAACAGGAGGAGGTGATCATCCTGAGATTTTTGGATCTCAAGGACCTGTACTCACTTCCTCTGGTAACTGAGGCTTTAAAAACTGGACAGATCTCAGATGCACAATACTGGCTGCTACTCGTTAAATTCTTGCATAGCTGACACTACCTATTTTTAGATGTTACTCTTGAAAGCCTGAAGTTCAGTCAAATCTGTTCCTGTGAATTTCAGAAGGTATCTTTCTTGTAAATGCTCTTGATTTTAACTATTCATGAGGTTGATATTTGAATTTGCTTGTATCAAGTGAACTAAAACCCGAGTGCCGTTGTAGGTGACTTAACAAATAAGCCCACACCAATTGTTTTTTAAAAAAAACCAAAAACCAATAAAGCTCCTTGAATAGCTTAGTGTGAGGAGGCTGCTGAAAGGGGCTGGTCTAACTGAACTGGTCAGAAAACAACTTTCCAGTATTTCTGCAGGAATTGGGCCATGCAGCCTTATGAAATTTAAGTTAAGAAGCAGCGATGCTTTCATTAACAATGCCGTTATTTCTGCCACTGAAGCCCCGTTGTCAGGGATCAAGGCTCTGCACGGTCCAAACACCAGTTAGCAAAAGGACTTAATGTTACGTGCTGATCCCTGGAGCACTCAGTAACTTTGTCTTTCAAACTAGAGAAGCCAGAGGATGGCTTGCATGGGATGCACGGGATGATTCCCATGTGTATGTCCCGATTTCATCGAGCTACAACTTTTAAATTTGCAGGGAGAGTGTGGCAGAGGTGGTCTGCTTTTTCCTCGTCCGGAGGTGAGGTGGGAAAGCATTTTCTGCTCTGGGATGATCGGTCATCCCTAAGGGGAGCGTGGAGGAATTTATTTGGAAGACTTAAACGCGCGGCATGCCTTGGGATAAAGTCCCTGCGTTTGCACCCGGTAACAACCACAACTCCATTTGGCCCGCTTCCAACAAAAATTTGTGAAGGCTTTCAGTATAGCATTCCCCCGTGCGGCGGCTGGAGCTCCTGAGCAGCTGAATGGTGGCAAGATGTTTTCTCCGCAGCGTGCAAACGAACAATACACAGCGAGCGGCCCCGCTGGCAAAGGAGGCAGCACCACGGTCTTTTGTTTGCAGAACTTGCGCGAAGAGGTCCCCGGTTGGTCTTTATTCTGCGGGACTGGGGCATCTGCTGACACCGGGAGCCGAGTGTCTCAAATCACCCACGGCCACTCGTGATTACGTTTCAGTGCCTCTATACTTCAGGCAGAACACAAAAGCAAGGTGAACGTGATGTCCAGTGTCACCCCTAACCTCTAAGTCAAGGGTGGGGATACTGTTTCTTGTTTCTGGGCAGTAGATCTTTTGATTTATCTTGGCAGGCTGTCTTCATACCCACCTTAGCGTTGCCCAGTAATAAGGCAGAAATAAAATCCTGTGATGGCAGGCAGCCTGCAGCGCAGCCGTAGCTTATGTCAGGCCTCAGTGCACCTGCACCAGCTTATCAGTGTGCCCGTGCCTTCTGCCCAGGGCATGGATGCTCAGAGCAGGTCCCGAAGCCTGTGTGCTGGAGAGCTTGCTCCGAAGTTCAAAAATAATAAAGTTGATGCCTCTCCCATGCAGCAGTTTTTTTCCAGCTCCAGCAGAGGCAGGGTCAGGCAACAAGGGATTGCTAGCTTTCTGCTAGGTTTTAGTCCATCCTAGACATAGGAGTGGGACAGTTTTCCTAAACGGAGAAGTGGGAGTAGGGATTCGATATGCCAGCCTTGCAAAGCACAGCTACCACTGGAGCAAGCGGTGACAGCCAGCAGGGAGACTCCTGTTCCCTGATGCTTTTTCCTTCTGCTTGATGGCTTTTGGCATAATAAAATGTATCGCTGGCATGAGGTAAGTTCTCTATATGGCAAATAATACTAGGTGCAACTAAATAACTGTTAGTGTCTAAAGATGAAACTGGAACCATCAGTTGCATACAGCTACCACAGCAGCTTCTAAACTTTCTAATCAGGATTAATTTAGAGCATTATGGCCATAGCAGCATCACATGCTGCTTCTGGCATCAGGAAACTGGCTGTCAGGGGTTCACTTGCACGTTTGTTCTTGCTGTGGGCCTCGCTGTCTGAAAAGACAAGGAAATAGGTTGCTGGATTGAACTTAGTTTTTGTTTAACGACATCTGTTCAGGTCTGTAAAAAGTTGTTACTGCTGTAAGTTCAGTTTTTGAACAGAAGATGTTGAATTGACTGCAAAAGTTACATAGGTACTCGTGCTTTAAGTACTCTGGTATTACCTCGCTTCTAATCAGTAGGACTAAGTAATGTCCTTCCCTCTGTAGATCTGGGATATGTTATCAGTTATGTTGATGATAAAATGTGTGATCACTGAATACGTTTTGTCACAGTTGGATGAAAATCAGTAAGAATGTTCCACTGGGATTTCAGACACAGATGTCAGCAAAGATATTTGGCTCAACTACAAATTAGAGGTTAGTTTCATTTGTGTTGGTTATGAAGAAAACCACAAGTTTAACGTAGGCTGACTAATGCAGAATGGGCTCTGTCGATTTATGAGCAGATAATAGAGTAAGTGTTTGTCCTAAAGCTATATGCAAGCTACCTTCTTGAGTCCTGGTAGGGCCAGGTGTGACAGACTGCATTTATAACTTAACCCAACCATCTTTTTCAAGATTATTACTCTTTGCCTCATGTGCTGAGAGCAGCTGTAACAATGCTGCTGTTACAAAATCTTTTACTAATGGAGGGGGTGGTTGGAGGGAGGCAGGAATAATCTATAGGCTACTTAGTCTACTTTGCAAAAGCAGCACTGCCGTTGTATGAGTGAGGCAAGGATCCAAGAGCAAAAGTGTATTTATTCACTAGAGTTTCTATTTTCTTCTCATATAATTTGACAACCCTTGTTTTAGGGGAGCGATGCTGTAATTGTAATTTGGAAAACACGGGGTTCTGATCTCGAGGGCAGTGGTTACCCGGGGACCAGCCCTGCTGTATCATTATCAATGTTACAGTGGAAACTGAATGTGGCTTCTCAAACGGGGTTTGTGGTACGCAGTAACTTGATGTAGGTGAACACTGCGTCTCTGTGCCTGGCTCGTTCTCCAGTGGGAGTGCAAATTGCAATAGCATTGTCAGTGTTGTCCTTCAGCTTATCTGAGCTGACTCCAGCAGCTTATCAAAGTTCTGGTCCTACACATTTTAAAAAAATAGTTCTACTAGCACATGCAATCAGGATGGCAGCACTGTAGCAGCAACCGTCTTTGTCACAAATTTAAGTCTTGCTGAAAGTCATGTTTCAAAAAAAGCAGATCCTTGGGGTTGAGAGTTTCGTTATTACAGAAGGGAATTTCATGCAGACTGTTTTGGGGTAGAGCAGGGAATAAATAAGGCCCAGTCACTTGTATTCTGCGTATCCTGGAAAATGGTTTGAATTGAGTCTTAGCTCCTCTGAGGACAGTGATGTGAAATGCTTGTATTCTGTTCTTGTTACACCTAGATTTCTCTACTGGCCTTTTCATCTAGTGACTGCTGTAACCATTTTTTTATTATTATTATTTTTGATTGCATTTTCAGGCTTGCTTTTGCATTCCTTGCATTTGGTTTTCATTTTGATGGCTCTAACTGTTAAAGAATATCACTCATCAGCTTTCAATTAAATACATGAACACAAAAAGTAGCATCATTAATATAAAGTGAAATGATGTTTGGCTTGAGATGGGAGAGCCTGCTTTAAAAGGCTGACATTTTTGTTTGTCAGTAGGCTTTCAGACGGTGTAGAAATAGTTGGGGAGGGGAAGCTTGCTGAAGGGAGTTGTTCGGCTCTGCATTTTGTAAAGCTGTAAGTTTATGCAAAATGAAACATGGG